GCCTATTTTATTTCTCAGTGATGGGGGGTGGGGCTTTCTGGCCCCTCCTTTTTTTAATATCTAATATTTTTACATGCTGCTAGTGAGAGAAATATTACAAGCTCCTTTATCACTTTATTAATCCTCCTTCCAAAAAAGGTGGTATAAATATATAAAAATGCATACATAAATGTGAAAGTGAGTAAAATTCACAAATTTTATTTTTGGTTTAATGGCACAAAGATAGTGGGTCTATGTTTATTTTGTTGCACTGGGAAACAGAAGCACTCTGGAAATATCTCCTTTACACAAGGGATGTGCTAAAATATCGCTATCTTAGGCTCACTAAAGAACTGATACTGGAAACTCAGAGAAAAAAAGCCAGTGGCACAGTAAAGAAGTGCATGTAGTTTGTACTTGTAATTGCAAGTTATTTCATATAATTAACAATCCTGGTAACTACTTCATAATTATATTGATATATGTGAAAAAATAAATCAATCTGAGAAGACTGACAATATATCTTGTCAAAACTTAACCTTCGTTTTATACTATCTTTCTACATACTTAATAAATAGATTCACCTTTCCATAAGAGAACACTACAGGCATTTTTAACTTATTTTTTGCTGAAGTAAAAAAACCTTTAATAAATAATTTCAGCATTTACTGATATTTGATTTGTAATATGCAAGAACAAAATAAACTGCATCCACTAATTAAATAAAAAACAGTATCCCACAATTCTTTGTTTTTCATACATAAAAACAAAAACTGAACATCACAAAAATAAAATTTCAAGTGTAATATTTGTCATATGTAGGCCAAAAATGTGATTCTACCCAGACAAGTTAAAATGAAAGCTCTATTTTAGTTTAAAACACCTGATGTATTCACTACTATCATGAAAATAATGGAAGAGAACAAAAATAAAGGGTTTAAAGGTACCAATGAGAGGCTCGGACCTATATTCTTAGAAATGTTTCTACTTTCTTTCAAGATTGTTATTTACAAAAATGTCATTACTTTTGTATATAGTTCTAAGATTACAAGGTGAAAATGTATGCTATTTACTGTTTGTAAATAAGAGATATTTAAAACGGTTTAGCTGTTACTCAACTGGAGCATTTTAAAATACATCATGCCATTCTAATGCACCTGTTATCACTTTTTAATGTTGTTGTAAAATCATCATGGTCAACTTCATCCACATATTTGATGTTCTGGCTACTAAATTACAGAATGTAGGCATGTGTTTCTGTAAAATCATCCCTATTGATATTGATAAAGGAACAGCTTCATCTCTGGAACAAAAACAACCTAGTATAACATTTCCAAAATGACAATCACAACACAGAAAATTTATGAAAGGTTAGGACATCTAGAAAAATCTTAAATAATTCAGAAACATTCCACAGTGAAAAGAAATTCTGAAGTTGTGACATATCATTAATGTAATGAATCTCTCAGTTACATGCTGAACAAGGTATAACAAGAAAAAAGTACTTTACAAGAAAATCAAAAGACGTAACCTGCAATTTGTTGTTTTCTAGAATGAAAAAAGACAGACAAATATAAATGTATTTTACCTTAAAATGTGCACTTCTGTACAATTTCTTACAAAAAATGCAAAGGATGGATCACCAAAGCATGAGGGGACATTTGTGGCCCTAAAATTCACTGAACTATAAAGTACTAAGAAACAAAACAGTAAGTGGTCTTTCAGTAGTCCTGGTAGCACTTTACTTCCCAGCAAGTCAGTATGCAATGTTTATTGATATGGGTGCATATTATGGGTATTTCTGCCAAAAATCACTCGTTTACATAAAAATAGATTCAACTTTAACCCTCATCAGCACATGAGGTCCACAAGGACCCCAACGACTTTCTTGGTTGTATATCGTTTTATATAATCATTACAAATTTATATCCATTCATGTAATTGTTGAGCAGAAACACTGGATCAATATGTCACTACTGTTTTCGAAAAAAGGCAGACAGTGTTTGTAGGTATAATCTAATATTTATCTGGGGTCCACACAGACCCCATACCATCATTGAACATTACTATACATACAGTTAGCCCTATAACATATGAATCAAATTTCTAAACACTTATTTCACTACATAGGCTGTTATAGAGGATAATTCATTACAGTAGTACAGTACCATCTCATTTGTTTGTTTATAATATCATTGTGGTAAGCATGTATACACATCTAATTCCTCAACAAGTCTTCACTGTGATGACTGCTTATGATGCCCTATTTTATTGAAACCTTGTTTGATAATTGTTTTAAATAACCTGCTTATTGGATTTTCAATCCATAGCCTACTATAAGGATACATGTGTGTTGGGGTGTGGTCAGACACAAGGTAACGTACACATTCAGTTTTCTTTGAGTTGAATATTGCGGTGTTGTGGTAATCTAATCATATATTGGTGGATAATGACTTGAATATAGGAGTATAATAAAATTTGGCATTTGTTGATACACTGGTTGTTTAAGGAATGGTTTAATACAACTTATTTGTATACTGGAACAATGTAATTTTTGGATCTGTCAACATATTTCCTCTATGTTGTTCACATGCTAACCCTAATAAAAGATGTAATGCAACTGGTTTTTTTGAATTTCAACCAAATTACTATAATTGTTATTTTGTGCTGGGGTTCGGATGGACCCCAGGTGTTACATAACTTTTCAAAGGTGTGCTGATGAGGGTTAAAATGAAGCACATGCCACCATAATATTTCCACAGTATATAATAAATAATAACAACTTCCCATCAAAGTAAGCTATGTACTTAGAGCAAAACCAAAAATCAACCCGGCCATCATCAAAGCAAATTAAATATACTTTTATCATGTTTTTACTTATAAAGATTATAATGTATTGTTTCATTAGTTGGGTACCCTTGCTGTTAACAATATTTTCAGCCACAGTCTCAACAATATCTCACAAGGTTCAGCCAGCTTAGGAGGTTTTAGATTAGTTCTAAATACATATATTAAGCTTACAATGCAAAATAGTCTTCATAATTAAATAATAATACTGAACAATAAACCAAAACAGAAAGTAATGACATTTGATATACTAAATATATAATCAATATTGTGAAAGAAAGTAGCAATAAATATATCATCATAAATACTGAAAACTCAGTGACTGTGATATCTAATATTCATATGTACTGTGACATTCATAATACTGTGATGATTATTTTTCATACTCTGTTTTTCAAGATTGACCATCAACACAGGGTTTCTGGACACAGTCAAGATCACATAACTGATGTGGAAGGCTGAAGCAGTGGTTCTGATTTCACTGATGGCTATGGTTCTAGTAATAGCACAAAATAGACATTGTGGTTTTTAAATTTTCACATCTGTACATACTCTTTTATATCGCATCCATGCTTTATGTTCACTAAAATTGTACTTTCTGCAGGTTACAGGAATAACATTATGATTCATGTGTGTGTCTCTTCATCAATTTCTCCCTTAATAACACCCTAATAAGATAAGCAAAGGTTTTTTTTGTAATTGGTACATGCCTGGCTATCAAGTGTTCCAGTGACTGAACTTCAAAGTATAGCTTTTATATGGACACATACACATCCTTATATTTGTAATTTTTACCAAACAACTCAAAAATATCTTACTTTAATAAAAATAGTTTTTCTAAAGAAGCAGAATTAAGAAAAGAAAAAAAAGACTAAAAAACCCCAGCTATGCTAATTGGTAAGTACTTTATACAAGTTCATGTTCCACATCCCAAATGCTGCAAATATCAATGTTCACTTCATTGAATAAATAGGCTTTTTAATATGTTATATAGCATATCTTTTATTGTCATTTAACTATGGAAATTAAAAAAAAGGCAGTGATTTGATCATGAACTATACAATCCATATGACATAGTAGAAACAATTCCTGCCAAGCTTGTTAAATAATCAACATGTGTTAAGCTCTCTACATTACATTGGTTGGACTACACTGACGAAATTAACCTTTTTACTGCACTAGAAAACATACATCCCAGCCACAGTGAATGGGTTAAACAAAATATAAAACACAAAGCACAATACCAAATTTTCAGTACACGAATGACATTGTGCTAACAAGGCAGTTTTTCTATTGTTGATATTTAAGTTTTGAATTTTACACATACTGTACAAAATCAAGTTATTATTTACCATGTAAGTATGGCTTTCAAATTTTAACAAAAACTTTGCTAATAATTTAGGTAACAAAATGAGCCAAATTCTATATTTTGATGATTCACTGGATAATTTTAATTTTTCTCTTTCAAACACACTCAGCACAAAACAAGATACCAACCTAAAAACTTCTATAAGAATGTCATCCAAAATGCTTGTGCTAATCTCTGGTCTATCCAAAAGACTGATGAGAAGGCGGTATGACCACAAATCAGAAGAAACAGAATGGCCTAATGGTGAAGCTAACACAGAAACAGGATCCTAGTAAGAGACAATCACAGTTCTAATTTTAAAAATTAATAGTAGATATAAAAAAAGTTTAGATACACTAAAATTCAAAATCTAAATACAGATGTGTTAAAATATGTTTTCACTGTTGTGAAACATATTTTAGAAATTCTAGGAAATTCAAATAAAATTCTCTAGTCAAACAATGCTATATTTCTGAAACTGAGAGTGGATTCATTTTTATACACATATATTTGCCACCACTGCTACTTAGCTATATGCTTAATTTATTTTTAAGTACCCATGTTTACTTTCTCCACAATATAGAAATATGGGATAGATGGTAAAAGATTAGTCTTGTAAACCATGTCAAAGAATAGCTTATTGATTGTATAGATAATTTTGTGCATGCTCTTTAATCTTTGACATCAATCAATGAACTGTTTGAGCCCACATAGCCATGGCTACATCTTGGATATGTAAATTTATAGATGGTATAAGAGTCCTGCATTTAAGAAACACAGTCTTTAAACTGAAAGAAATTACTCAAATAAAACATCATCTTAAAAACAATTTCAAGTTGAATTTGAAGACAAATCTTAGTATTACAAAAAGAGGTGTAACAGGAGAGACATTTTGGCCCACCTGTGAAGAATCAATATTTTTCTATTTTCTACTTTAAAATTGAAACATTTATACTACTTAAATTTTTCAATACTTATTTGTCAAAAGTTAAACTACAATAGCTTCTTGGCTTATTGTAGTTTCAGGTTTCTGGTTTTAAGTTCTGCAAGGATACTTTCATTCTTAAATGCAAGTCAGAGGCCTTCTAACCACAACTAGCATAGTAGAAATATTTTTGATAAAGTACACAAAATGTCTTTCCTTTCATACTTAATTTTCTAATGAAACAATCAACAGCCTTTCTGTTTAGCATCCATTCCAGCCATTCCCATACATTTGTAATGCCCCCATTAATTACTTTACTATAAAGACCATGATCAACAATATATTACACCATTTTAACAACCTTCTTGCATAGTTTCATTAAAATTAGTCTGAACAGGATGAAGGTTACAATCAATAACTGACCAACTTAGATTTGATCTCAATGTCATGTTAATTGTGATTACTTGTCTGTGAAGCACTATTTGAAGATACGGTGTACCTGATATTTTCATTAATGCTGATGAGAGAGTGTTTCAATTTCAACATTGAAATATTTTGTGGGTAGTTGATTTTCAAGAAAAAGAGTACTGGTTAGGCTCATGCTACCCTTGAAAGAAAACACAATTCATTGTGTTGTTTCATTAGTGGTAGCAAGTAATATTTTGATTAAACTGGAAAGAGATATTCCTGAGTAGGTTACATTTTCTGTTAAAAGTGAAATTCATGAACAATAGCTCCAACTATACAAAATATAGATTGCTGCACCTAATGTTTAATTGGTTATAAATAAATATTTTCCATCATACAGAATGAAGAATTTTGAGATGCACACAGTTTTACTGAAGATTTTCTTAACATTATTTCAGTTTAAGATGCATATTAAATGCACGAAAGTTCAGACTGTGGTAATGCTTCATTGTTGTCTTTAGCTGTGCTAAGCTTATACTTGAAAGGAAGCAAGATATTGATGAATTTCTATGGTCAAGAGGTCAATGTTAGAATCTTTGCAACAGCTAGCCTTTTTGGCTATTTATGTAGGAATAAGAGTTTGCATACTAAACCTGGGGTTCTGGCTGTATAATAACCAGATAGTAGTGAAAAGAATGTGGCTGGATTCTACAGTAGCTGTGAGCTGTTGTCTTGACAATTGCAATAGTGGATAGCACAGTTGGAAGCTGGATGTAGGTCAAGCTCAAGACTAGAACATCCACAGGTGAAAGGTGACATACTTGTGAATACACAGAAGCCTGAAGAAATGTCAATTGCCCAATACTAATAGTTTTTACACTCTACTTCTAAAGGAAATTGTTGTAACCAGGTTGTTACCAAATTTTAACCAATGAGAATTTGATTAACCTTACATTTCCAGCCCAACATTTTCTATTTAAAATTAAGTTCTAAATCTTTCTTAGACTTGAGAACCCATTAGTAAACAAGAAAAAATAACATGCAGAAAGTTATCTGTTTGGATATTTTCCTAAGACTCCAGGAGCTGACCTAACATTGGGCAAGGTAGTCAGAGCTAATGAATGAAGATCTGTTACTCAAAATCTCATCAGACATGCAGATCCTGACTGAAGCCATAGATGGACTGGCCATGAAGTTTCCAGAGCCCAACACTCCAGACTACCAGGGACCAGACTGTGACCATAGCACTAACCAGAGAAAGATCCCTAAAGATATGCCACCAACAAGTGATCCCACCAAACTGAGTACAGTCTACAAGCAGGCTCACTCCAGAGCCTACGCTGACTTACATCAAGCTAACTCCTGCCAAGGCTACAGGAACTCATCCCAAGATCTTGAAATGTTAGATTAGTGGGGCCTAGTAAAGAAATGCCACTGGCATCAGCAGCCTGAAGTGACATACCATGTGTTTCCTACCCCTTAGTTAACATATAAATTTTTCAAAATTTCTGTACTTATTAAGAATGTGTTCGTCATATAAAAAATCAGTCAAGGGTGCCACTAGATTTGTCTCATCCTAGTTACTCACAGAACTAGGTCATTCAATTAAAGTATCACATTTACTTTTTTGTGGGAAAGACTGCTGTAACACAGAGCATAGTGTATAGAAAGTGACAGTGATCTTTTCCACTGGCAAGTTGGGTAATGTTCTAGGGATACATCCATTTTTTGTTGTGAGAGTGACCATCAGTCATGTGTGGGTGGTGCCAACAACCTAAGGAATTGCATTGTTATTTTTCCTTTATAATATCATGTTATCTCAGTCTGGGCAAGATGATAAGACTACAGACTAATTGGGTTGTTACAAGTACAGATTAGATAAAAAAAAATGCAAAAACATACTTGTCTTTAAAAACTTTGATTGTATTTGTGTTGTGAATAAAAACTGCTTCATTGTGCAATACACTATGTCCAGTCACTTTCTTAGCTTCAAACCCAGTCAAGGTTAAGAAAACTCAAATTTCTCTCCCTCAAAATATTTTCTGGTGAACCTACAGTTATTCTGTGGCTCCTACCTGGTTACTCACAGGGGAATCAGTGAGCTTCAGAAAACTACAATGGTTATGTGCATATTGCATAATGCCATAAACCAGTGAAAAGCTGTATCATGTACTGATTTTTATATCATTATATATCATAAATTTACCAAAAATTAAATACAGATTCACAAACATTCAATGATTATCATGCATTATGCTTAAGGTGTTGTGTTTCAGATTTGGCAATGCTTAAGTTATTAACATTAATGAATGCAAATGCAGAAATGGCAATATACTACCTCCAAGCTGGAACAGGTTAATAAAAAAGGGAAAACAAGATATGTTCACAGATAAGACGGGTGAAATCCAAAAGAATATGTGGCCTAACAGTGAAGGTAAAAAGATGTAAAGGTGTGGCAGTTCATCCACATACCAGACTTGAGACTCTCTTTGGTCCCATAAGAAGAAACACAAAATTTATGTAGAAATTAAAATCAACAGAAACTCATTGGAACATTCTAATTTTGTCTCCTTCTCAACTGCATTACTTCTTTACTAGTGATTGTATAAAATATACTATACTGTAAGTTAAGGATGGTAGTCTAGGTGACTAAATCTACAATGACAATTGCTAAAAACATCAGTGTAAAAGTCACCATCAATTTCTTCTCTTGTAATGATGTAATCTAATTTCAACTTGGATGTAAGTCAACTTCCTTAAATTATATTGGCAACATACTATACATATTGTAAACATACTCATATTGCACTTTTCAATGATACAAGACTAACAATTAATAAGAAAGAAAAATATGTTAATGAAATTGTTTGGGAACATTTCATACTCCCATTTCAAATTCAAGGTTAATGGTGAAAGTATGTGTAATGGTTGCCATAGCTTTTTTCCCACTCCCCCATTGTTATTGTAAAAGAAATGCTAAGATCTTCTTAAAATCTTTGCTGAGAATTTATATTCTAGAACCCTCTACATATAGCACCTACACACTGTAAAAAAGCATTAAAGTCATTACAATATTTGATAAAAACCATCGAGGTACAAACTTCTTTTACACTGGCACTTACATATTAATGTACATTTGTGGTACCCACACCTTTGGTAGGATGAAATTCCCAGACCTTTCCCTGACCAATATATGTTATTATGCTCATAATGTATCATTGAACTATCATCTATAATAAAATGTGAAATTACAAAATACTACTTATTTATATATATTGTTAAGAGTATGCACATATGTATGCTAAGAGTCACAGTTTGCTTAAATTCCATTTTTGCAAAGTTTCAATATGATTATCAATACCAGTCTTGAATTAATATTTTATCAGAACACATGCATCAAAGGTAGCTTACCCATTTGTTTATGTTACCTTATACTATCAATCACACTTTATAATTTTGATTCACATCACAAAAATGTTATTAGATAGTAAAGAACACTAATGATTTTTACAACTGTGATTATAATATATAGTTGCAATGTTCCTAAGCCAACCATACTGTTCCACTGCACAACCATACTTACAGAGGCTAAGGTAACTAAGTACAAACACGAATGTTACTGTACACAGATATGTTTGTCACTGACAGTGAATTGATAAACAATGATTTATAAAAATAATAAAAATTATCTCATGTAGAGAACATATGTTTCAATAGAACATTGATCTGTGTTCTTCATTCCATAAACAAATACACTGAAAGTGATACTGTACAATAGTATTACACCATTCAGGTGTGTGAAAGGGAAGGAAGGAAAAGCAGCAAAATGGAGAATTATCCTCAAGAGCTGTCAAAGTGTTTGAGAGGAAAAACGATCCAGAGAAAGGAGAAGATATGTAGAAAGATAAAGAGTAAATGGAACATCAATGGCAAATAAACAGACCACCAGCATCCAGAGGCGAATAGCAGAAGGAAGGAAAACATAAAGGAAGGAGAATCAAGGAGCATTGTGAGAGTGGTTCGAATGTAGACAAAGTGAGGCAGAAGAAATAAATCCACAAGTAAAGTGTAAGAGAGGTAAATACCTGCAGGATCAGGAAAAACAAAAGTTGTGGGACAGGACTGCCTGAAACCCGAGACCAAGGAGACAGAAGACTCCTGATCCAAAAGTCAAGAGAGGAAATCCAAATGACTAAGAACAGTGGGTTGGTCAGAGGAAACCCTGAACCAAAAACCCATGATGGAAAGATTACATTTACGTTGAGAAACTTTCATGCAGGAAGAGTGAACGAAACAAACCAGAAGAGAGAATAACCATCAGGAGATGCCGAATCCACTCACCAATGACCAGAGGAAAACCTGGCGTGAAGACGGAGAATAGGAAAATCTGGATGAAACACCAGTGACTGAGGGTGGCTAAAAAGGGACAGAGGAAAAGGTAATGGAAGAGGAAGTTGGAGCTGGAGAAGCCGTGGAAACCATAGCTGTGATGGTTTCCGAAAGAGCTATAAGAAGTACTGAACACACAATGTCGAGGATGAATGAACTCACCCAGAGAAGAAGGAGAATGAGAGGATAAACAAATGTGTAGGTCCAATCCTGGCTGAAAACATCAATAGCCAGAGCAATAAGACTAGGAATCAGAGACCAATACCAAGGCAATTTGTAGTTAAGGGACATAGCAAAAGCCTCAATGTCAGGAGTACCCCACTGAAGTCAAAGCCACTAGAAAACAAAAAGATCGAGAGACCTCTCTATCAGATAAATCTTTTCTGGACAGAAATCCAATCCACAACAAAAATGAAAGCACCTGGAACATGACACACAATGATAGGAATATCAAGTATGTGGGCATAAAAGGAAGATCCAACGTATGATTACAGATGGATGGAGAACAGGTGTTGCCCTGGTACTTGAGATAAGCAACCACTGAAGAAAAGATCATACCAAATGACTTCTGGCAGGATAAAGAAAATGAACCGAAACATGACCTACAGCAAGAAGCTCCAGGACAATGATAGTTTAAGACTTCTGAGCCACAGGCCAAAATCCCCAAATCTTCCAGTGGTGACCCACACCCCTATGGGATGCACCCATGTAATGTGGAAACCAATGTATGAGTCATATCTAACCACCAACTCCAATCGACAACAAGGGTAGGAGGAAGGGTAACAGGAGCTGATAAAGGAACCCTGCAAAATTCCACTGGTCATGAAAAAACCAGGAAATGGCCCACATATGAGTCTGACCTAAGGGGATAAGGGCTACAATGGAAGATCACATCCCCAAAAGTGATAGAACTTCACGAGCTGTAATTAAACTGAAAACCCATCGAACAAAGTAGAAAAGGAGAAGGGTAGGCCCAACTGGGATGTGTGTGTAGAAAAAGAAAAACACCCAAATGGACAACATATTGGAAAAGTCATGATAAAGACTTCTCCAACTTCATTAACAGCCCATTATAGCCACCTCCAGAAGCAGCTGATAAGGGTAACAAATGCTCTGAATGCCCCGAAAAAACATACAGGGCCGAAGCAAGTCTGAAGCACAGTGCACAAAACAGAGAAACCACCCTGTTGAGAATAAGCCAAAAAGAGGGTTGCGAGTGATGAAATGTCAGGATATGCAAATAATTATTCGCAACATTCCTCTTTGTCACTGATAAACCTGGAGAAAAAGCCCACCTACTGTGAGAAATGGCTCCATAGTAAAACGGGACAGATTGAAAATTAGAATGAAGTGGGACAAACCTAGTACAGGTCGCCAGTCTCCAGTTTGGTGGGATGACAACAAACAGCATCGAAAAAACCTGGAGAAAAATAATGTTATTTTCCAACCCAGGGAACTATAGGAAATGAAAGAAAAATTTTGTGAACTTAACTTTTAAACTAAAAGGGGTGGTAAACACGTAGTACACTTCATTTTATTTAATTAAATGTTTATTTCCTACATGTAAATATTGATCAGTAAATCTACATGACAACTTTGGAACCGATGTGGCAGTTTATTATATAGCACAACTTAAATTCTACATTTGGCAAATTTACTTGATAATTCTTAAATATAAATCTCAATTTCATAAACAACACACTTTTAAAGTGTAAAATTTTTTGTAAGTATACACAATTTGATTTATAATTTTCCTGTATAATAAGAGATGAAAGGACCACAAAACATGCAATATATAAACTGGGCATACAATTTAGATTAAGTTACAAACACTTTACTTAAAATTCAAAATTACACTTGGCACTCTTAAAAAGCTGCAAATAATGTTTTAAGTTCAATGGTCCACAAAAGTTAAGGTCAGGATTTCCAAGTCAGGTACCTGATGATGACAAAACCTTGTCGAAACGTTGTACATTTGCTGTTATGTTAAACTTATATTAAAGTTTTTCTTCATTACCCATTCAAGCCTTCTCCAGCCATTATTATAGTATTTATTCTGAATTTCTCTGTTATTTCTGTACATGTGCAGGTTTCACACAACAAGTGGTCAAAAACTAATTAAATTCATCTTATTTGAGCTGCCTTTCCTCCTGTTACTCTCAAGACAGTAATACCTGTTCTGACCACAGGAGGTATTGCCCATAATGCTGCACATTGTGCAAGGATGCCAATATCAGTGTCCTTCAAGGATAGTTCAGGAGTTACCTCGAGGTTGTGGTTTAACTACACTTTGAATGAGAATCACCAGTCACATGGGTAGAACTACATGCTCAGGGTAAATATAATGCTATGTAAACAAAGAGACGTTGGATTGAAACAGGTTGGTTGATGAATTCAACCTGATCAGTTGAAGACATAACATTTATAAAAGCAATTGTTTTGTGTCAGTAAAGCAAGTACACATAATGTGTTTGTGTTAAGAGAGATATTAATAAAGGCGGTTCATTTTGTGTTAAACTTTGTGTCCAATTACTTTATTTCATTCATTCTCATGACTCGGTTATTAAAAGATTTAGCATTACTTCATAATAAATATCATGACTTAATATCATGTTATTCTTTGTACCTATCCCATTGCTCTTAAATAAATTCAGTTTTACTCGGACAGACCCCAGAGTAGATAGGAAGGAGAAATATTTGGTGCTGTGACTACAGAATATTGTATTGATGAGTCAGCTGTTTCTCCTGAAGAGTGAACTGCCCTTTACATGAACTCCAATATTTTAAGTTTAAAAATGCTTTTTAGTAATGAAATAGGTATTTTATCTCACTAGAAGGACTTATGACCAAAATGACAAGCCATCACTGAAAGAAGAAGATGGTCATCTGAGAGTTGTTGGGTGCAGGAAAAGTCCTCTTCTGGGCACTGGGCTTTTGCCATTACTACATAGATCCATAACTTCTAACTCATTATGGCTTATGACTCAGAAAGAAAAGTCTCTAGTGTACCAATTTTCCCCAGAGGATTGATCCCTGTTCAGGAGAAACATGGATGCTGAGGATATTCATAGTATTTTGACATTTAGCAAATCTGAGATATAGTGAGGGGATCTGTATAGGACACCCACAATTAGACCAGCCAGAGTAACCGAACCACAACTTTGGTATAAATTGCCCAAGAAAACTGAAGAGAGAGAGAGAGAGACTAGAGATGATGTTGGTGGATCATATCCACCAACAAAAGCTATCTTAGCAGCATGTGAAATGGTGGGAAATGAATGACAAAGTTAAATGACCATGGAAAATAGGTAAGCCTCTCCAAACTGGGAGGTATACTATCAAGAAAACAATGTATTATGGAAGAGCCTGGGATAGTGCTGAGCTGTTTGAGAAGTTGCCAAATACACCTCATGATTCTGCCACCCTACAGTTCTACTGTTCATCATGGCATTGGGGTACTCCAGAGTACCTATAATACTGTGCTTACAATGTTGAGGACATCTTGGTCTGGTGATGACCAGGAAGTCATGAAGGAGAGAAGCCATAATCACAGTTCCTCATAAGTGAGAAAATGCAGATCACCCCATTATTCAAGGGTACACAGAAGAAGGATTTGGACATTTTCTGAAGCCTTTTAGGCAGGTAAATGCTTGAAATGCATGAGTTTAGATGGTCCAGCTATTGACTCCATCAAGCACTTGAATGAGCAGCAATTGTGGGACTGCAGGACAGTCATAACTGAGTTGAGGTGAAGGTTAAGTTCAAGACTTGAAAGAAGAGTACAACAGAAAGCTTGATACTTATGTAGATTATCTACAACATTTGTATGAAAGTTCTTACACTGCAATGGCCTCAGTGGATCTTGGGAATATTCTTGATCACAAATTTATGAAATGGCTACTCAATGGAAAACAGAATATTTTTAACTATACTGATTCAGTTTCTAACACTTTTAAATAAATATCTTAAATAACACCACATAATACTTATTACTGGTTTTTTCCATATTTTAGTCATATTTTTTTCCTTTTCTATAAGTTTCCATACACTGTTTTGCATATTGATTGACCAGAAAGCATAAGTATAAATTATGTCCATTATTGAATGGGTTAGAGAGACTTAGATCATGAATAAACTAAAAACACTACTAATTTAAATTTGCTTGAATGTTTAACAGAATATGAAAGAAGCTCTCTAGCTTACATGGAGGCATACTCTTATCCCTTTCAAAAGAAGATCTTTGGAATTTGTCTCAAAATAGAGATTGTAGACATCAGAGTCTGTGCTGTTCACACTCTCAGACCGATTAACCATGTGCTGGTCTCCTTTAGCTAAATTGGTTTCTGTTCCCAACAGCCATGCAAACAGGCGTCTAAAGAATTTAAAAATAAATACATAAACATAATTCAATAAATTATACTAATTTCTGAAACAACATTAAAAATAAACTCATTGAGATCTAATGACTGAAATAATCATGAATTTCATACTTCCATAACTAGTTTAGAATATATCTTTAATCAGATTTAATCATGTAATTGTTCTAGATTTTCATGCAGGCATTGTGCATTTAAGGTGATGTTCTTGTTAACCAAATGTTGAGAGGTCCTAAATGGGTACTAATATTTTTACTATGGTAAAGTGTGCATATGCCAACAGCTTAAGAGGTGAACCCATTTCAAGTGGCAACTCAGAATCTAATGTTCTTCAAACAGAATGCTCCAGCTTTTCAATAAAAAGTTGTAGGGTAGGGGCTGGCTTGTTTGCTAAGGCTATTAACTCAGCTGTAATTGGAGTTTTAAATTAGGACTAGACAGTGGTGACGGCCAGGAAAAACTAAATGCAAAAAGAATAAGAGGCAGAGAAAAGTTTAGCATAGGAAATTAGAAGTAGTTATAAGGACAGGCTTAATTGTTAGTATTGTAATGCTAGAAGTATAATAAATAAAGTAGATGACTTTAGAGCACTGGTAAGAATGGATGATTTTGATATAATGGGAATAACTGAAACATGGTTAAAAGTAATGATTTTAGATTATTTTGGTGACAGAAACTTCATTGAAATACATGGTTACAGGCTATTTAATAGGGAAAGAACATTAAAAAGGGGGAGGAGTGGCTTTATATGTAAAATATGACTTGCATCTTGTTGAAGTTGTTGATATCAAAGATAATAGCATGGAGATTGAATCCATTTGGGTGTCTATTAGTGGATATAAAGGGAAAAGGCTTTTAGTGGGAATTTGTT